GGACCCCGCTCCACCTGCTCGGGCTGCACAACGGGGCGGGGGGGCCCGGGTCAGCGGCTGCCGGCTCCGGGGACCCCGTTCCACCTGCTTGGACTGCACAACGGGGAGGGGGTGGGGGGCCGGGTCAGCAGCTGCTGGCTCCGGGGACCCTGCTTCAGCCCAGGCTGGGCTGCCAGCTTTGACAACAATGACAACAGACACAAGGGACCTCCTTAAATCTGAATTTTAAATAAACAGCAAAAATAGTTACAGATGTCCCGTGCAATGTCTGGGACAAGCTTATCCTGAGAAGAGTTATTCCCTGTGTCCTGAATTTTAGCTGGCAGCCCTACCCCTTAAAACTGGGTGGACAGCTTGACTCTAGGCCCTTACAGTTGGTTGGACTAGACCCCCGAGGGCCCCCAACATCCTGGGCCACACCCCAGAGGCTCCCCTCCCCAATGATCTTTCCAGAAACTACCGGCTCAGCCCCTCCTGAGCAGAGCAGGGATGTGGGCACCAGCGGGGGTGCCAGGCCCTGCTGTCCCCAGGATGGTGCTCCCAAGGGTGCCCCAGCCCCGTTTCCGCCCCTGCTCCGCCCGGACACAGCTGCCCTGAGCTCAGCGGAACCCGTGATGCGGGGTGGGTGGCAGCACCAGCTCATGTCTGGGTGTGAGGACCGTGGCTTCCGGACAGCCGGGGTGCCTGGCACCAGGCCCAGCTGACCCGGCTGACCCGGCTGGCACTGCTGGGGGCGACGGCAGTGGGGGTGGCCCAGCCAGGACTGGCCACTAGGTAGCAGTGCAGGACAGATGGGGCGCTGTCCAGGAGGGCCAGCACCTGGGGCCACTGCCCCCTTGGCCTTCCCGGCCTCCCAGCCCTAGGACTAGCCCTGTGGAGGCTGTCCCCACCCAGAGGCCAGGTCCGAGGGGCCAGACCTCCTTGCTCCCCCAGAGGCCTCCTCTGTGGGCCCAGCCCCTGAGCATGTCCTCGAGCGACCCCAGGACTTTTAGACTCTTCCCCGTGCCTTTCCTGCCCTAGCCCCTCCCAAGCTGGCCCAGAGACCCCGAGGTGAGCCCTGCCCCCTAGACAGCCCCACTCCAGCGCCCCCAGCCCCCATGGAGCTCTCTGATGCCCCACGGACTGGCTTTGCTCTGTTTGGACCCCCTGACTCTCACCTTCTGCTCAGCTTGTGCCCCCGTCCACCCGTCCCTCCCCTCCCCCTCGCCATCTTGGGGACCTGCTCCTGCTAATCACAGCCACAGACCTCTCTAGGGTCCTCAGCCCCCACACTCCCTGCTGGCCCCTGTCCTAAGCACAGCGCAGGAAGCTGGGGGACGGCGGAGTGAACCCCCCAGACCTCCAGAGCGTGCCTTCCCCCTCAGACCTTCTCCTGGTACTGGCGCCGTGAGGAGTCCAGAGACTGGATGAGGGCAGTGGCGTGGCCAATGAACATGGCGTAGCAAGTGGCACCCACGATCATGCTCAGCATCGTCAGCCAGATGTCCGTCATGCTCTCCGGGGCCTGCCGCCCGTACCCGATGCACAGCATATGGCTCATGGCCTTGAAGAGTGCGAAGGAGTAGAGCTCGCTCCACGAGTGGTTCTGCAAGGCCATGGGGGGGGGGGGGGGGGAGGGGGCTCAGGGCCCCCAGGGAGTCCCTTGACCCCAGACCCATCCCCCCAGACCTGCTGAACTTCTAGGCCTGAGTCTGGCCCCCCAGACTTGCTCCTGCTAACAGGCAGCATCTCAGCCAGGAATCAACAGGTGCTTGGGTCCTGCCTCTGTGGTTCTGATTTCTAATGGCCCATGACACTGTTTTCTCGTTTTAGGACACAATAAAGCTGCCTCTTAAATAAATGTATGGAAATAAAACACGGAATCAATCAGAACACTGTAAGCAGATGACATTATCTCTGGGTGACAGGAGGTGTGGTTGTCACGTTCCTGCGGCCAAGGACCCCCCTCTCCACGGCCAGAGTCCGAAAGGCTCCAAGTCGCGGGAGCACCCCGAGCGGGCGCTGAATGGGGTCTGCAGGGACCGCGCACTCCCGGGCCTCGGTTTCCCCGCCGGGCCGCGCACCCTCCTGCTCACCACCATGCCGTTGATGGAGACCCAGCAGTTGCGCGGGAAGTCCTGCAGCATGGGCACCAGGAACTGCAGACACCCGTCCCAGTGACACAGCAGCAGCATCATGCTGATGAGGTTGCAGATGCGCATGACCGCGCTCGCCAGGTCGTAGGTCATGTGGAAGATCTGCGGGGCGGGGCGGGGCGGGGCGTGAGGGTCCCCTCCAGCCGCCGCTTCTCCGGTGCAGGGGCAGGAGGAGGGCGGAGCGCCCAGGAGAGACCCACGGCCCCAAAAGCTGCCGCAGGCGCCCCCGCCTCACCGCGCGCCCCAGCCGCCCCCGCTGCCCTTGAGGTTAGCAAAATGCCGTAGACGAGAGCGTGGCCCGGGTCGGCCGCCCGCTCCCCTCTCCCAGGCCCGCCGCCTCTTCCCCAGGCCCCGACCCCACCCGCCTCCGCCCTAGGAGACTTGGGCAGCCTTGAAAACGTGGGGGTGGGGTGGGGGGGGCGACATCGCCGGGCACGGGCTGGAGGACATGGGTGGCAGGAGTCGGGTGACTCTCAGTGCTGAGCGGGTCCCGACTTCGGGGAGAGGGGCTGTGATGTCGCTCCTGGGAGCCGAGGGGGCTGTGGTTCCTCCTCTTACAGGGCACAATGAAGGGAAGGGGCGCGAATGCGTCACGTGACCCGCCCCGCGGACCCCGCCCCCCCCCCCGCCCCCCCCCCCCCCCCCCCCGGACTCCGCGCCTGTCTCTCCCGCCCCGCGGGGCTCTGCCCCAGGCCCTCGCAGCGCCCCCAAGACCCCCCCTTGGCGGGCGCACCTGCCCACACTGGCGCCCTCCGCCCCGCCCCGCGACCTCGCGCGCGCGCACCTCCTCCCACTGGTGGATGTAGCGGATGAGGCGCGACAGGCGCAGCAGCCGCAGGAGGCTAAGGATCTTGGTGAAGCGCACGATGCGCAGGGCGCGCGCCGTCTTGTAAACCTCGGAGTCGATGCCCTTCTCCACGATGAGGAAGATGTAGTCCACGGGGATGGAGGACACGAAGTCCACCACGAACCACGTGCGCAGGTACTTCTTCTTGATCTTCTCGGGGTCCAGGATGATCTCCGTGTTGTCCTCAATCACGATGCCCGTGCGGAAGTTCAGCACCAGGTCCATGAGGAAGAACGTGTCTGAGACCACGTTGAACACGATCCACGGGGCCGTGGTCTCGTCCTTGAAGAAGGTGATGCCCACAGGTATGATGATGAGGTTTCCCACCATGAACAGCAACATGGTGAAGTCCCAATAGAACCTGGGGGCGAGGCGTGGGCTGTCACGCCTCCAGGCCGTTGCCCACGCCCAGCCCTCTGCCAGGCTAGCCGTCCCCACCTCACACCTGCACCTTCAAGAATCCAGCCCGGACCTCGCCTCCTCCAACAAAACCAAGACTTTGGCCTTGAGTCACAGTTAGTGTGTGCCCCACCTCCAGGAAGCCCTCCCACCCCCAGACAGCACCCCACTGCCCGCTGGGCTCTCCCAGCCCGGCTCCCTCCTGCTGGCCCAGCTCCCACCTTCTCTCCTGGAAGAAGCAGGAGACGTGGCAGAGCCCAAGAGATGGCCCCAAAACTGGCTACATGTTTCCCACGACCGAAAAGGTCCAATATGTGAGACAAGGGGTTAGCGCCAAAAAAATACTCTGGATGAGGAAGGGGAGGGGAGAAAAGCCAGGACGAGGGGCAGCTGGTGTGACTGGGAGCGGGGGGGGGGGGCGGGGGCTGGGGGCGCGGGGCAGGCAGGGTCTGGAGTACCCCAGCTCTGTCTGGAGCGTCTGCGCCCCTGCGTGAGCACAGAGAAGGGGGACCCTTGGGGGTGGGAGGCCGTGAGGAAGAGGCTAAGGCCCCCCAGGAGCTGCAGGGCTGCCCGAGGAGCTGAGGGGCAGGACATTTAACGTGACAGATTCACCTGAAAACGTGAAGACTGGTTGATCCCACTCCCAAATACACCCAAGGCAGATACAAGTCCCTGGGGTCAATTCCAAACTCCACCTGGGAAGTGCTCTCAGAGAAAGGCCTGTCCATGCAAGGGGCATCAGTCAGTGGCTGGGCAGGTGCTCTGAATAAAGCATGGGGACCTATGGGTGCCCCACACGGACAGATGCCCAGCACGGAGCCATCGAGAACACGCAAATCAAAGCTTCTCTGAAGGGAAACTGTCCTGGGCGCCTGGGTGGCTCAGTCGTTAAGCGTCTGCCTTCGGCTCAGGTCATGATCCCGGGGTCCTGGGATCGAGCCCCGCATCGGGCTCCCTGCTTCTCCCTCTCCCGCTCCCCCTGCTTGTGTTCCCTCCCTCGCTGTGTCTCTGTCAAATAAGTAAATAAAATCTTAAAAAAAAAAAAAAAGAAAACTGTTCTGTTGGTTCCTCAAAAATGTAAACAGAGGGGCGCCTGGGTGGCTCAGTCAGTGAAGCATCTGCTTTCAGCTTGGGTCATGATCCCGGGGTCCCAGGGATCGAGCCCCGAGACCAGCTCCCTGCTTGGTGGAGAGCCTGCTTCTCCCTCTGCCCCTCCCGCCACTCATGCTCTCTCTCTCTTTCAAATAAATAAATAAAATCTTTTTAAAAATGTAAACAGAATTACTGTCTGACCCAGCAAATCCACCCCAAGTGTGAACCCCAAGAACTCAGATAACCACACAACATGTTCACAGGATCACAACTCACAACAGCCAAAGGTGGAAGCTTCAGTGCGTCCGTGGATACACACGGCCCCCCACACACGGAAGCGTCCCTCGGCCATGGACAGGAGCCAGGAGCCCACACGCACTGCCCCGGGCACGGACCCCGAGCCCACGACGCTCAGGGAGGGAACCAGACACTGGAGGCCACACGGGGTGTGCGTCCACGTGGGTGACACGTCCGGAACAGGCTCATCCGCGGACGGGAAGGGGGCTGGCGGGGGCCGGGGGCTGGGGAGCAGGGAAGGGGAGAAGGTGGGGGAGGGAGAGTTTTTGTTTGGGTTAGGGTGAGAGAGTTCCAGACGTGGCTGGTGGTGATGGTTGCACAACATTGTGAATGCACTTAATGCCATTCAGTTATACCTTTGTAAATGATTAAATGCCAACCTCTATGTTTTATATATATCGACACTATAAAAAAAAACAAGACAAGGAAAACTCTGAAACCACGGGGTGGGGGGGTGTCTCAGGGATGCGCACATGCCCCAGATCCGGGGTCTGAGCCCACACACCCTGTCTAGATTCAGGCAAAGGAGGGTCTGGAATTCTGAACAAAGTCATTTATTTTATTTTGCCCTTACTTAACACTGTGGGGAGCAACCCCCACCCCAGCCACGTCAGCCCCAGGCAGGTGTGTGCAGGGCTCTCCCGTGGGCCCGGTGCCCCCCCATCATGGCTGGGGGCCCGACGTGCATTTAGAGAAGGCTCGATCACACATGGGCAGGACAGGGCCCCTGAGGACCCTCAAAAGCTGCCACTCCCTGGCTCCTCCTCCTGGATGGAGGAGGAGACCAAGGTTCCCAGGGGTGGGGGATTCGCCCAAATGAGCACAAATAAATGAGAAGCCATGAGATCCAGCCCTGGCTGGGTGGGCCACAGCGAGCTCCCTGTTCTGGGAGCCACTGGAAGCAGGCTCCTTTCTGGACAGCACTGCAAGAGAGGAGCTATTAACACCATGCGTGCAGGGTGACCCAGGCATTCCACTTCGGGGAAGTGATCCCAAGGAAACTGTCCAAGAGGAAGGGAAAAAAATTAAAAACCAATTTGTACCAAGATGTTCACAGTAGCTCAGTCTTCGAGAGCCAAATGCTGGAAGGCACCCAACGTCTGACACCTTGGTGGAAACAGCCAGACCTGGGTTGACACCCAGTTCTCTGCCTACGGGCAGGTGTCACCATGGGCAGGTCCCACGGCCCCGGGACCCCCACTCTCCCCTCCATCAGGGAGGAGCTGGGGGTGGCAGCCTTTGAGGGCTCTCCAGGGACCTGGCCCACCCGCATCTGGTGGGGGGGGCCCTCTCTGAGTGGATGTGAGGACCCGGGCTGGGATGGGAGAGCCTGGGGATGCAGGGGAAGACCTCGAGGGAACGAAATGGATGCACATGATCTGGGGGCGGGGATCAAGGGCAAAACCCAATAACTGCTCAAAATTCAGTTCCCTTCCTTTGCCTGGATCTAGCCAAGGCATGGGATCCGGGATTGAGGGGCCCCACCTGCCTGCTGCGCCAGCACTTCCACTGTGGCCGAGCTTCTAATCCCACCCCACACCCTCTGTGAACTGAGACCTGCCCTCCTCCCCAACTTCGGGGCACAGGCCCTGGGACAAAGGAAGCAGGAAAGAGTAACTGAGAAGGCCAGGGGGCCTAGAAACCACGAGAGGGCCTAGAAACCATGGGGTGGGGGGGACGAGAAACCACCAGGAGGCCTAAAAACCGGGGCAGGGGGAGACTAGAAACTACCGGGGAGAGCCTAGAAACAATCTAAATGGCTGGAGTGTGAGGGCCTCCTTCACAGACATTCTCTCCCTTGATTTATTTTATTTTATTTTATTTTTTTAAGATTTTTTAAAATTTATTTATTGAGAGAGAGAGAGAATGGTAGAGAGCATGAGAGAGAGGAAGGTCAGAGGGAGAAGCAGACTCCCCGCTGAGCAGGGAGCCCGACATGGGGCTCGATCCCAGGACCCCGGGATCATGACCTGAGCCGAAGGCAGATGCTCAACCAGCTGAGCCACCCAGGCGCCCCCCGCCCCTATTCTTGGGTGGGGGTAGGGGCAGGCATCACACTTCTGCACTGACAGACCGGTGAGGTGACCCTGCCAGGGAGTGGGGGCAAAGAGTGGAGACCCCAGCCTGCTGCTCCTAGCACCGTCCTCTGCCTGCCTGTTTAGGGTTAGGGTTAGGGTTAACCCTCCTGAAGGCTGGAGCCCCATCTAGAGCTCCTGGTCCCTGGGGAATGACCACTGCCCCTGCCACTTGGAGCAGCCCGTTCTCCCAGGCTGGCTGGTGTCCGCTGGGTTTATGAGGGGTTGGAGCAGAGCCAGGGGGCTGGGGAGGGGCTCTGAGGCAGCTCTGGGGCAGAATGGCCCAACCCCTGGGCCATCACTAGGGTGACCCACCTGCTCCAACCAGGAGGCCCCCACATGGGCCCAGAGTCCTGGCCCTTGTCCACTGCAGCCCTCCAGTCCCCCCGGAAGAGAGCAGGAGGAAGAAGAGGGACCCCGCACACACCTACCAAGGGAAACCTGAGGACGGGGCAGAGGACCCCCCCGCCGGCCAGACCCCGACGCCTACCCTGACCTTGCTCCTGCGCTGCACGGCCTGGGACTAATCTCTCTCCTCCGAGCCTCAGTGCCTCGTCTGCCCAGACCCTTCCCTCGTTGGGCCATCCAGGCATGACTGGGGTGCAGGGACCACAGGGGCCCCACTGGGCAGCCAGCAGGCCCCTGGTGCACAGTCAGCTTTCAGCCACCCGGGGCCCTCAATGACTATAACTCAATCCCGTATTTTAAAATCTTCCCTGACAAATAACTGAGGCCCCATTGGGGCCCTCGCTTCTGTGGGAGCACCCAGGCCCCTACCGTTGTGTCTCCAGTGCGGCCCCGGGAGGGCAGCGGCCTTGTTCACAGAGGAAGGCAGGCTCAGCCCGGAGAGATGCCGCTGGGACAACAGAGTCTCCCAGGGAGCGCAGGGCTCCACGGCAGTGACCCCAGCCTGGGCCTGCAGCTGGGAGAGGGTCCCAGAGCCCTGTCCCAGGCGCACCCCCACACACCTGCGTGGGCACGGGCCTTCAGCGGGGGTCCCGGCACTGCCACCACCCCAGGCCCGGTTCTTGCTGGACCCGTTGTCCTTCCTTTCTCTCAGCTCAGTCGGAGAAACCAAGGCACGGTGAGAGCTGAGTGAGGGAAGCCAGGTGCCCAGACTTCTCCAGGCCAGAGATCAGGGCCCCTTCCAACGGCTGACAAGCGGCCTCCACCAGCACCAAGGGGGGGCAGGGTCAGATGGGGGCTGGCGAGCAAAGGCACCCTCTCCCCACCCCTCCCCACCCCGCAGGATCCCAGCTCCAGGAATTAGAGATCGGGCAAATCTGAGGGGATTAGGGCCGAGGTCTGTGATTAAGGGCGAGCAGGGGATGGAGGATTAGAGTCTGAGCCCTCCGATGAAGAGTCACACATCCAAGTCGAGTGTTGGGGATTAAGAAAGGGGGCCCTCGGGGGTGAGCCCGAGACAGGGCAGGCTGTGGGGGGCAGGGAGTACACCAGGCACCAGGACACCTGGTGACCACACAGACCCAGCTCTCCC